AAAAAAAAAAAAAAAAAAAAAAAAAAAAGTGAAAGACAGCAGAGGATGCAGAGCCAGATGAGCCCAGCCAGTCCCTGACACCTCTCCCCCCAGAGGGGCCTGGAATCGGGGGTACTAGAAGCTAACTGCCTCACCAAGCTGTGAGGCCCAGGTTCGTCCCCACATTCATCCCTACTGTGCAGCCCTGGACCCCACTTCCCCAGGCCCAGACTTCCAGTCCTTCTGTCAGTGGGGGCCCCTGAAGCTGCTATTCTCAGAGGGACTCTGAGGACAGGGGGCTCCTGGAACTCCCAGGAAGGGACACCACCCACCTGCAGCCCCACAGGACCCTGAGCCAGTGCAATAATCTGTCATCATCTGCGCTCGGAGCTCAGGGCCAGAGCCTTCGCTCTCCACTCAGAACCTTCTGCACAAAGGGACTCGACAGACTCAGACCAGGGCGCCAAGAAGTCCTGTGCCAGCCTGGCCCGTGTGGCCACTGCAGTGCCTCCTCCCGGAATGCTGTCCCTCGCTGTCCCTGGGTGCCAGCTGTGGGGTCTTTCCGAGAGTCCCTGGCCAGGCCTGGGGATGGCTATGGGCAGCTGGATGCTGTCCTCATCTGGAGGGGACTCCTGCTCCATCACAATGTCTAGGCAGAAGGCAGCCTCTGGCCACCACCATCACTAACCTAGCTCCTGCCGGCCTCAGCCTGCCTGCCTCAGCTGAGGCTGCAGGAAGCCCCAGGTGGCCCCAGGTGGTTGGGGCAGGGGAAGACCTGCCCTTCCCAGTGCTGTGTCTGTGTCCACTTCCTGTTGCTGATGACAAAGCAGTTGTGGAAGAGGGGTTTATCCTGGCTCAGGTTCCGCCCAAGGTCAGGGGCCTCCTCTGTGCCCTGTGTGAGGCAGGTGCGTGTATCCTCCTGAATCCTCCCCCACCCCATGACCTCATCTCAGCCTAATCACCTAAGCACCATGCTGAGCCTGTAGTCTGATTAGATCCAGCTCTGTGGACTCCAGCGGGGCTCTGTGGCTCGCACTTCAGCACCAAAGCTTAGAGGATGCATTTAGTGCAGACCCTGGCCCCTGAAATGTCTACCAGCAGGGCATGGTGATGCAATTCTAGTATCCCAGCACTGTGGGAGGCCAAGGCAGAAGCATCACAAGTTTGAGCCCCACCTGGGCAATTTTGGGAGTTAGCGAGACCCTGTCATAAAAAAAAAAAATAAGGGTTGGGGACTCAGTGGGAAGGTCCAGGGTTCAATTCCAGTACCACACACAGAAAGAGACATAGAAGCAACCCTTGTCTCTTTCTGTATGTTCCAGTCTCTGTCTCTGTGGCTCTGTCTCTCATGTCTCTGTCAGTGTCACCATCTCTATCGGTGTCACCTCTCCTGGTATCCCTGCCTGGACAGATGGGCACCGCACCTCTGTTCCCAGGACTGCAGTGGGTTATGGAATTGCTGGCTGGGAAGGCCAGGGACAAGTCACTGTGACCTGTGTCCTCCTGTTGTGTCCCCTCCAGCTGTCCCTGCGACCTCACTCTGGAGGGCACACGCTTCCCTCTTTGGCTTTCTGCCCTGGCGGTGGAGGCTTACATGGGTAGCCTCAGTTTACCAAAGGGCCGTGTCCAGCCTCCGAAGGCTGCCTGAGCTCGGGTCTGGGTCTTTCTGGGACAGAATATAATGGAAATGGCTGGCCCTGCCAGCCCCCATGTCCCCAGCTTCTGTCCCTCTGCCACCCCCACACAGCAGCTCCAGGGACCGTGCAGCCTCAGCCTGGCCTGTGAAGGGCTGGCTGGACCGGGGCATGCAAGGGCCGCTATGGGTCCAGGGCTTGAGGCGCAACCTGACTCGTGCAGCCCTAGGCCCTGGCTGCTAGTGCTTTGGGCCAGAGCTTTCCCAGGCTGCTGCTGACTGTGGATGCAAGCTCTGCTGGGCTCTGGCCATATCTGTATCCCCACGGTCAGGAGGTTAAGGCTGTGAAGCCAGCAGCTTTTGCCGAGGACTGGCCCTTGGTGCGGGCACCTGACCTGGCGGCTGCTTCTGACACCCAGACCTCTGGCCAGCTAGCCCTGAGTCCTAGCCTCAAGGAATTTGCAGGCCCCAGGCAGGAGCAGAGCAGCCTATGCATCGGCCTCCTTATGAGGCCAGGTCTGAGGCAAGATGCTGTTTCCCTGCACTCAGGAAGCCCAGGGCCATGTGTGTCCAGGCCATCAGCCATCCCACACAGTCAGCCACAGCCCAGGTCCTTATGGCACCGACTTAGGGCAGCTGGCCATCGACACCCTGCTTCCCACACGTGGCCACTGAGGACCAGGAGGGAGATGAGACAGGAGCTGGTGCCCAGCATGCCTGAGGGCAGGGTAGAGAGATGACACTGGGCCCGCTTGGCCCTGGGACTTACCCTGAGGACGATCCTGGGGCCTAGTAGCTATGGGGGAGTCATTCTGGTGTCTCCACAACCACAGCCTGAACCAGTGGGGCAAGCCGGGCCTGTGCCCATTTGGCCCCAGGACTAAGGTGGTTTCAGGGCCTTTTCCTTAGGATGCCATGGCCATTGGGGGCCCAGCCCACCTTGTGGATCCTGTGGAGGCTGCACTGGCCCACACTGGGGCTGAGCAGCCCCTTGGGGAGGGGCTGGGGCTGTGAGCCATTGAGGACAGGGCCTCCTGGGACCGGTTCAGAAAAGCCAGGAGAAAGCAGATGTTCAGCTCTTTTTTTTACAAGTTTATTGAAAGGATCTGAAAATAGTAATAAGGCTTTCAGCAATAATTAACAAATTTCCAAGATATTAACAATAGGAAACATTAAGAATTTACTTCAAAAACCCAGCAGCAGCAGACCGGGATGTCTTGGTACCACCCACTTTCCCCTACACCGGTGACCCAGCTCCACGTGGCAGGCCCTGCCCTGCTCATAGACGTAGGTAAGGACAGACCCTGGGCACAAGCCTCCAGTAGGATGGCCTGACACTTGGGTCCTGGTGCCAGTGGGAGACGGGATGGAACCCAGGGCTCTCTCTCAAGTGCTGGGCGAGGCTCACCATGGAGCCACATGCCCAGCACTTTTCATTTCTCACTTTGAGACAGGGTCTCACAGAGGTCCATGGGCAGGCCTTAAACTCGCAATCCTCCTGCCTCAGCCTCACACCCGGCGAGAACCCATGCTTAATAGACACACAAGAGTCAGTGACCTGCAGTCCCCAACCCCCTGCAGCAGAGGGCCGGCCCCATCTTCCTGCTCCCCCAGCTCATCAGGCAAGGGCAAAACCTCACAAGCAAACTGAGGGAGGAAGCCAGGGAGTCCAGCTGCCCACGGCACCCATGCGATCTATCCCACAGGTCCTGCACTGGGCCCCAGCAACTGCCTCCCCTACACAGTGTAAACAGGACACAGAACATTCCCTCCTGCTCAAGCTTCACAGAGTGTGTACAAGAAAATATGTACATAAGCACTTCAGAACGTGTAAAAGAACCTCTAAAAAGTACACACAGGATTTAAAACATCTTCCAGGAGCTGGCGCCGCCGCCTGGTGCTTGGAATGTGGGGTCTGGATGGCCCTGCCAGTCCACAGCGAAGCACAGAGGCCCCCAGAGCTGAGGGGAGGTTACAGGTCCAGGGGAAAAGCACTGCTGCTTAAGGAAGACTTTTGGCTGAGACATTTACTTCGACATCAAAGGACTGGTCATTGTCCAGGCCGCTGAACTCCACAAACTGACAGTGGAAAGCCCTGCTCCGGGATGGGTAGGCTTCCCACCCAGTGCTCACTTTGCTTCTTCAGAAATGAAAAAAGTCAGATTTAAAAATGTTAAAAAGCTGATCTGGTCACAAAAGGTGGACAATGTCCCTGCTCCGCTGCAGCCTGGCAGGACAGAAGCCAGCGCGGAGCTCCGACCTCGCCGCAGCCCTGGGCCCAGCCTAGCCCTCCGCCTCCTCCCCATCCTCGAAGTGGACTTGCTTCTTGCGCACGTTCCAGTGCAGGCACTGTGCCAGGCTCTCGAACCAGTCGCTCACAGGGTCGCGGACGCAGATGGAGGGGAGCGGGTAGCAGGAGGTAGTGATGGTGATGCTGTGGGAGGAGCCGAGCCACTGAGCCTGCGCCCGGTGCCTCGTTCTGCCCAATCACAATCAGACCCCATGCCCACCACCCAGGTCCTGTGAAGGCCACCCATGCTGGGAGGGGCACGAGGACCAGGAGGTGGGGCCAGCTGAGGACCTGGGCCCTGTCACCTGAGGGACTTCTGCCACCTGGCACAGCACTGCTCCCAGCCAGCGCCCAGCCTGTTGCCCACCTGTCTCCATGGCGTATCTCCTGCCGCTTCCTTCCGTCCAAGGACACCCATGCAGTGTTCCTGGCTTCTGGTGACAGCATGATCTGGAGGGCCAGGTGGAGACAAGTGTGGGTCCTGGATGGGGAGGATACTCGGAAAAGCGCGCCAGACTGCCTGGCAATGGGGTAGCCCTGAAGGCCCTGGGGTGGGGATGCCTGGCAGAGGTTCTGCTCACCTGGGCCCACAGGTGTCCCCACCCACCATGGGTGCCCACCTGGCCGCTGAGCACCTGCGAGAAGTGCTGGCTAGATGTGTGCCCGGGTCCAGGCACCATGGACCAGTGACTCACAGCACGGAAAGGGGGCCAGCTCTGACCTTCAGCTCCACCCCTGCAGGGACTACGATGGGCCGGAAGGAGAGCGAGTGGGGGCAGATGGGTGTGATCATGATGGCTGGCACGTTGGGGTGGATCATGGAGGCGCCGGCTGCAGCTGCGTATGCTGTGCTGCCCGTTGGGGTGGATACGATCACTCCTGGCAGGGACAGGGCGGGCGTCACCCTCAGCCTGTTCAGACGCAGGGACCCAGGGGCACCAGCCTTACCATCACCCTGCACCGTGGTAATGAGGTGTCCGTCCAGATAGACATCCACATTGGACAGGTACGAGGAGGGGCCCCGGTCGATCACCACCTCATTCAGGACCTGCAGGGACAGCGCTCAGAGGGAGATGGCAGGGAGGCCGGGCGGGCATGGGGGTCCCAGGGTCGCATGTACCTGGTACTGCATAGCTTGCTTCCCTCCCTCCAGTGGGGGTTCCGGCAGCCCGTTCTTGCTGAGCCCGTTGTGCTCGGCCATCTTCTTACTGTGGGGCTCCTTCACCACCCTGACCTTCAGCCGGCTCCGGAGCACGACGGCAGCATTGCCTGCAGGCCAAAGGGGTCAGCAGGGTGCGGGACACATGGGCCGGGACTCCCCACGCTGCTCCCAAGCCCAGTGACACAAGAACCAGGCCACCTCTGCTGAATACCAGGGCTGCTCCAGCCCGAATCCTCTTGTTGGTGATGCCAAGCAGTCAAAATTTAGAAATCCACCCATCTTTGTTTTGAGACAGGGTCTCACTATGTAGTTCAACCTGGCCTTGAACTCACTCGGTAGCCCAGACTGGCCTGCAACTCGTGGTGATCCTCCTGCCTCAGCCTCCCAAGTGCTGATATGACAGGTGTGCACCATCACAACTGGCAGAAATACCTCCATCTTGAAGTTTAGAAAGTGCTGCTCTACACATCATTAACAAAATGGCTACAGATGCCAAGCAGAGCAAGCGGAGGGCAGGCCCACGCCGGTGCTACAGGCTCTGAACCCCAACGCACCTTCGATCACCTGGGTCAGCTGCGACTGGAAGCTCTCGAAGGTGAACGGGGTCAGGAAGCCCAGGGAGCCCAGGTGGAAGGCCATGACAGGAGGCACGCTGCCCTGCGGGCGGGGATGGTCAGCTGGGGTCCATACAGACATGTCGAGGCCCAAGCTGTCCACAGCAGCAGACCCTGGAGCGGGCCCTGGTCTGCACTTGGCTGTGGGGGGGCCGTGTGCACCCAGGGACAATGTGGGGGGACAGATGGCCTGATGTAGGGGCCATGTTCTGGGCGAGGGTCCTGGGTGTAGGGGTCCCAGGACCCAGAGGGTAGCAGATGAGAACCAAAGAAGGAGCGGCAGTACCCTGCCCTGGATGGTGGGCCCTACCTGGAACAGCGAGGAGGCGTAGAGCAGCGTCCCATCCCCGCCCAGGCATATGATGAAGTCTATTTGGTTGGAAATGTCATCGTAATCTGCATGGGAAGCCAACAGCGTGTCACCGAAGAGCCCGAGCTTCCGTCAGATGCCGACTCGGGGTGGTGAGGGCTCACCTTCCCGGAAGGTGCAGAACTTCTTCTTCACTGGTCCGAAGTTGTCATCACTCGCAATGGCGGGGTCCTCCAGCACCTTCTTCTCCACATACACAATCATGCCATTCTCCTGCAAGAGAGACGGTGAGCATGGTTGCCGGTGCCCTCTGGGCTGGGGCTGGTGTGACCCCGGTGGGTCCCCAAGGCTTCCGCCTCCCAGGAAGGAGGAGGCTAGCGTTGAGAGGCAGCCTCTGGGGGTGTGGGTATAACAGCCCACGGTTGGCTCCTGGTGGCTTTATGAGGAAAGCGCCAGAAAACATATGTGGTGCCCTGCCAGCAAGGGGCCACCTCGCCACCCTGGAATGGAGCCAGCACCCAGATGTCAGCAGAGGCCCCTCCAGAACTGGGTCCCCAGGCCAGACCTGCTCAGTCTAGGGAGGTGTGGGCCTGCGCCTGAAGGTTGCACTCCTAAACCCATCCAACGTGGTCTGGACCTGAAACATACCCTGCCTCATGCATTCAGAGGAGGGAGCAGATGCCAGACCAGGGGCTGCTGGTGCATGTGCTTGGAAGGTGTCTTCTGGTCTGCACACTCTTGCTTCCTGGCTGTGCAGGGCGAGAGCTATCCGGCCCACCCTCCACTGCACTTTTCCTGACCTGGAGCAGCAGACAGGGCTGCGAGTCAAAGGAAACCCCTCTTTCTTTCAGGTGTGGATTCCAGGTTTGTCCCAACAGTGCAAAGCTGACAACGATACAGCTTTCCAATGGCACCAAGAGAGGACACCTGGGAGGTGCTGAGGCCGCAGGGCTCATGCTAGGGCCACCAGCACAGAAGTGACCTCATTGACTGGGGTGGGCTCTGCAGGCTCCCTTCCCTGGGCTCCCACGGACCCAGGCAGTCTCCAGACGCAGGGCCAACAGCGTTCTGTCTTTACGGCCTGTGTGTGGCATTCCCTCCGAGTTCCCGGGGACCCCACCTGGCAGAGTTCCCCACCCGGTGCCCAACTCGCCTCCATGAGGTACATGCAGAGCTCCTTGAAGGGCTGAAGCAGGGTGGCATCTCGGATCTTCTTGATGACCAGCACGCTCTTTGGGGACTTGTTCCACGTCAACCGCTGGCTCGCAGGGTCCTGAATGTGCCTGAGGGGAGGGGAGAAAAAGGCTCTGACTCAGAGAAGGAAGAAATCTTCAATGAGAGCAGCCCCTGCCGCCTGGTGCTGGGGAGCCTCTCACCTGGCATGCCAGCAGGTTTGGGGGACCCCACCCCACTCCATCCATGGGCCCTGCTGGCGCCGCTGTCCACTGCGCCCCTCTGGAGCAGACTGTATGGAGCCCCAGGAGGACAAGCCCAGGATAGCCCAGGTCCATGCAGACAGCTGCCAGGCCTAGGACCTTAGGACATAATCCCTCCTTGCAATGCCACTGTGGGAACTTAGGGGACCCTTGACTTTTCCAGTAGAGAACACTGGTTTAAAAGGCAGTGGCAAGCTTGCAGGTGTGCGCTTTGTATTTCTGTGGCCCTTGAGGGCCACTGGTCCTGTGCCTGCTCGGTGGCCCCAGATTCAAAAGTGACTGTGTGTGGGTACCCTCAAGGGCTATGTGTCTGTCCCCAGGCCAGCACCCAGTTGGTTGTGACCTCAGGGACACGACCAGGCTGGCCCAGGCTTCACTCCACACAGCCCCGGCCCCACACACTTTTGAGACTGCAGTGCTGGCAGCGGAAAGAAGACCCTTTCCAGCCCACACACAGCCCAGAGGCCTGCTCCTGCCACTCCCTGCCAGCAGCGGCTTCTCCGGGAGAGTGAGGGACACCCCACTGGCAGTCAAACGAGTGTGAACGGCTGAGGGCAGCAGCAAGTGCCTGCCCTGTCCAGCCCCTGACACGACACCACAGAGGGCACAGCACTCACCCTCTCCAGGTGCTTCTGGGAGCCAAGGGGCTGCCCATGGTATCCGCTCTGCCTCCCTCCCACCTGCTCACTGATGCATCTCCTCTGAGGAGACAGCCGGGTCCGCAGCATCCCAGCCCGCTGCGGCAGGGAGGACAGATGCTCATGCCACCCTGCCCCACCTGCACGCGCCCATCCTGCATCTAAACTAGAGCCCAGCGCCCGCACCCTGCGGATTAAGAGCAAGACATGCTCATCACACTCGTCAAACACCTTTCAGAAGCTCAAGCAACAGCTTCCTGAAATTATGGAAATCAGACAATTTCCTTACTGTATATAAGACCCTTTCGCCCAATTGCCTTCTTAAAAAAGAGAAAGACAGACAGACAGATACCAGGATAACTTTGGCAGCAGAGTGCCCCACTTCAACTACCTGCCACCTTGTCCTCCATCCCCGCCAGGCCTGTGGAGCTGGAACCGGAACTAGAACCAGCAGGCCCAGCCCCGGGAGGGCTCAGGCTGCTGGATGAAAGGGTGTCAGGTGAAAGGTGTGCACTCCCTGAACCCTGCTGGGCTGTGGCCTCCAAGAGGCAGTGTGGGCAGCCACCAGGCACACAGCCCGCCCACCTGCTACCCAGGAAGGAACTCTGCCAGCTCAGGGGCCCTGCAGGCTGTCAGCATGGTGCCACACGTGGCCTGGGCTGGAGCTGATCTCCCTCTCCCTAATGTGACCACAAACCAGTTCCTCAACTTCATTGGGTCACCTGCATAGTGGGGTGCTGACCATCCAGGCATTCAGGGCAGGGCCCCACCCACCTGGGATGGCTGTGAGGGAGCCCATGGGCCATGTGACCTGACTGTGCTGGCGGTGGCAGTGTCACAGGCTCATGACTAAGTAGCAACTAAGTAGAGAGTCAAAGGTTAGCTCCACAGGAGGCAGGGATGGGGCTGTGAACAGGGCTGGCCAGCACTCTGACTCCCCTGGCACAGACCAGAGTGGGAGAGGTCCGGTGGGGTGGGGAAGGTCACTTGGAATGTCTTGGAAGCCTTCCTGTGCCTCGGCATGGGGAGCACCCCGCGCACCAGGGAGTCACAGACTCACATCTGGCTGTCTGGCTACAGGAGCCAAGGATAATGAAGGCAGAGGCTGGAGAGGCCCCTTCCAGCGGCACGTAGGTGAGTTGGGGTGATGGGAAGCTGGGACGGTGAAGGGGAGACTGCCAAGTCACACTGGGAGGTGGTGGAGCAGCAGGGGCTCTGGGTCAGGGACAGCATGGACGACAAGGCTACAGGGACAGTGGAGCCCACGTGGGGGGCAGAACTAGGGCCAGGCCTCAATCCTGCTGCCCTCACTGGGCAGCAGTCCCTGCATAGTCACAGAGCCTGCATCCATGGGTGCTGGAAGGTTCTGCTCAAAGCAATGCTAGTCAGCCTAGCTGACCTGCCCTGGGGCAGGGGCTCAGTCACACGGAGCTCTCTGTAGGAGGCAGTCAGGGCACTGTCAGTTGTGAAATGGGAGTTGGGACAGAAGTCCAAGTTTGCATACAGAAGCAAGGACATTAGGTTGTTTTAGTGACTGTTTTAGTGGTTTTCCCCATAAAACCCAAGTACTGCTACACTGCTGTACACAAGGGACAAGCAACATGCTCGTCCTCCTGGATCCGCAGAGAGCACCCGCCAGAGAGGCAAGACAGTGATGCCAGTGCTGGCTTTCACAAGGCTCCTCTCCTGGGTGCCGTCAGTGTGGCAGGCAGTGCCTGCATGCTAAGGCCCCGGGCTTGGTCCCCAGTGCCCCCAAACCAAGATAGAAACCCAGAGTCAGGAAGAGGCCAGCAAACACCCTATCTTGGGGGATGAATAGGAGACACCCAAGTGTTAGCACAGGCTGTATCAGCCCCAACTCTGGCCACCAGAATAGAGCACCCTAAGTCTCACCCGCACAGAGCCAGGCCCAGGCCCATGTGTTGTTCCCAGGCTGTCCAGCACTAGAGAATCAGACAGCACAGCCCAGCCAGACACCAAGTGCAGTGGGACTGGGGAAAGCACATGAGGGGATCCTGATGAAAGGACTTGGGACATGCCCGCCCACCTAACCACCAGGCACACTTACATAATGGTCTGGGGGTTCTGCAGCACGCAGGCCTTTGGTCCAAACGTGGTCACTGGGCACGGGCCATGGAGAGAGCGTGTCCTCCTGTGGGGCACAGTGGGGCTGCCGTCAGTGAGGGCATGCAGGCACTGACGAACACAGGTCACGCAGACTCCAGGGAGCAGGGTACCAGGGACGAGGACGGTACCAGCCCTGACCCCCACAGATCCGCCCAGTCCTGGGGCTCACCGGTGTCCTTGAGCAAGAACACCAACTTCAAAATAAAGGAAGATGGGGCCAGCTGGGCAGCCTGCACTCTGCAGAATATGCCCATGTGTCTTTGGTCTGTGGCCTTCGACACCTCTCCTAAATCTTCTGGATTCCAAGGGAAATGTTCACTCTGGATTACAGTGCGACTTTCCCAAGAACTGCAAAGTGATTCAGCCAGCTACACAAGCAAGCAAAGGGTTGTGCAATGGGCCTGCAGCCAGGGTCAGCACTATTGGAGCCACCCCAGCTAGGCCAACACCTCCGCAGCTGTCCACACGTGAGGAGCTACCAGCCCACTTGCTCACAGGGCCCCATGTACTCTCCTGTCCCACTGCCCACGAAGACTCTCCAGTCTCAGGGCCTGGTCCTGGCTGCAGGGCCGCAAACATGAGGTCTGGATGAGCACACACTGGAGCTATTCAAACAAGCCTTTAAAAAATCATGAGGAGTGACACTGCGGGCTAGGGACTGCCTACTGAAGCTTCAGAGGCCATGGGAAGGTAGTTTATTGCCTTCAGACCATGTCCTTCAGGTGGTCCCTCACCTCTCACTGGGACCACTGGCCACCACAGAGGCTTCCCTGACCCTTGGACACCTCACAGGCTCGGTGTCCTCCGAAAAGGGAGGGTGTTGTGCCAAACCTCACAAAACACAAAGCTCCAAACCCATGGAAATGGAAAAGCCAGAAGCAGCTCTGCCAAGAGCCAGAATTACGGATGTGGGGGAAGGCGCCAGCCAGACATGCTGTGGAGCCTCCGTGCGTTCGGAAAAGGTAACTCTCTACGCTCTGCTTGGTGGTGCCTCTGAAAGGCCCACAAGTTGCTGATCTGCACGAATGATCTGCATTTCCCTAGAGCAGTGGGCAAACCCATGGCCCCTTTCTGGAGCGGGCTGTTACCACTGAAGCTCTCAAAGGTCAACCGCATTGCCCTAGGGGACTGCGCTGTTTTTAATTGGTGCACAAAAACAGGAAAGTTGCAGATCCTGATAGGGTACTGCGTAACGTGGACGCAGCTGCACACTGTATCAAAGTTAGGTCAAGTCAAACGTTTATCTCCTCAGACATTTATCAATTCTCTGTGGCAAGAGCTTTCAGGATCCTTCCTTCTGGCTCTTTGACATGTTCAGCACATAGCTGTTGTCCAGTCACCATCCTGAGCAACAGGACCTCACCTTACTTCTTCCAGACTGTAACTCAGTGCTAGGACCACATGCTTTTAAAAACTGTTTTCACCAAAACTCCCCTCACACTCTACAAGTCTAAATTGCTCTGGAGGCAACACTGCAAGCTTTTACCTGGAACTCATCACGTTTAATGCTATCAGAGACGAGAGTGACCCCAGGAGCCACTGGAGCCACACACTGTCAGGTGGCTTCCCCAAGGCCCAGGGCCACTGCACAGGTGACACTGGGCAGCTGCGGGTGTGACCGGCTGGGCAGTCAGGTGGCAGGCACACGGCCTGCATGTGATAGCCAGAGCCCCAGGCTGGGCTGCACGCCTGCCCACCCACCTGCCACCATCTTGGTGCATGGACCCTCCTCTCCTCACCAAGCGTGACACCCACCGAGTCAGCAGGGCTCTGGCTGGGTGGGTCTGTGCCACCGCAGAAGAGAGAACAGCACCCCAGGGAGTATGGTGGAACCCACAAAAACCCAGCACTCGGGGGCCTGAGGCAGGACCACAAATTCTAGCCCACCCTGGGATATGTGTGCAGATGCATCTTCTGGCACGACATAAGGGACAGAACAGTGCCCACCTGAACTCCTTGGTGGTGCCCAGGGCAGGTGAGGCCGACAGGCTTCGGGACTTGGCCCGGCCGCGGATTGGGTGTCTGCAGCTCCAGTTCTCATCGCCCTGGCATGCTGGGCAGCAGTAAGCGGCTGCATCTGGACCCAGCTCCTTGCTCATGTTCACCTTCTCTTGCTCTATTCCCACAGGCAATGGCTGAGAACTTCTGCCAGAAAAACACTGCCACCTTGATGTAACGAAAGAAAGAAGTCAGCGCACACGGAATAGGCACAATGTACCTGCCACAAGCACTGGCACACTCATTTCTGCGTTCTCATGCCGGGACTGAACCCCGGCCCCATGCAGGCTGAGCCGATGCTCGGGTGAGCAGCACCCTAGCCACACACCCACCTCGCAGGGAGCAAAGAGCCAAAGTCCAATTTACCGAAGCGCTTTGCAAACAGGCTGTTTCCACCCCAAAGACACTGCAGAACTCGGGATTCCACCCATGGCTGTGGGACTAATCTAGAGAGCGAAGAGCCAAAGAGCAAGGACAAACATCCAGGGCAGAGGTATGCACAGCTGACATAGGCCAGGCATGGGGACACAGTGATGGGGGAGGTGGCCCTTGCTCAGACAGCAGTGTATGCTGTGGAAGTCACACTGTGGACACAAGGGGAAAGCATGGCGCGCAGTACTCAACCTAGGAAGGGAAGATGACGTGCACCAGGCTGCACCAGCAGGTGTGTGGCTCGGCCAGCTGGGTACCGGGCAGCGAGCACCAGGCTGAGACTGCTTGTCCCAGAGCTTCGTGTTGTAACATGGAGCCGGGCATGGACCAGTTAGATAAAATTACCCACCCCCGAGTTCTGGAATCTTCTCCCAAGCAGCTCAGGCCTACATGAGGATGGCCCTTGACAGGACAGAGGTGGGTGCAGCTCATTGGTGATCACCTGGGTTGGGGGCAGAGGAGGAGATGAGGGAACTGGGCAGGGAAAATACAGAGGAAGATGAATGAGCTAAGCCTTCAACTCAAATTGGAAATGGAATAAAATGGGCCTGAGAAAAGCAGCAGTCATGAAAACAGATACATCAAAAAATAAAAATAGGGGCCAGGGATTTAGCTCAGTGGTTCCACCACCTGTCTCACAAGTGCAAAGTTCAGATTTCGGTCCCCAGTTAAAAAAAAATAAATAAAAAAAGCTGCTGCTTGCTGCTTCTGCCTGCCACGCCATGGACTGTTCCTCCTCTGCCATGCCACCTCTGCCTTGCTTAGAGACAGCTGACTATGGACTGAAACCGCTACAAACTGAGTTAAAATAAACCTTTCCTCCCTTAAAATAAATAATAAGTAATAAATAAATAAAATAAATAAGCATGCCCGTAATCCCAACAGTTGGGAGGGTGAGGCAGGAAAACTTCTCTGAGTTTGAGGCCAGCCTGGGCTATATAGTAAGTTCAAGGCCAGCATGAACCACATATTAAAACCCCTGTCTTAAAAACTAAATAAACAAAAATAAAAATAAAGATTAGGGTTTGGGGAGAAACTATAATCAATGAGCCAGTTTCAACCAAGAGACTGGAAGGGTTGCATCAAGGCATTGGGGAGCCCAGCCAATACTGGAGGGGGCATCAGGCTGTGTCACGGCCAATGGGGTGCCTGGTGCTGTTCATACCATGCCAGACCACGTCCTTAGGATGCCAGGCCTGCCCCAGGGAGAAACGAGGAAGGTGGCCAAACATGAGGTTCCCCCCCGCCAGCTTTGCAGACCAAAGAGTCACCCGTGCATGGTCACCTGAGCATGCACAGAGCAAAGCCAGAGTCCTTCCTCACAGAACAGCACACAGTGGGCAGATGCAGTGGGGAACAGGTGGGTGCTGCGGGCCGTGGGCTGCTCTGAGCATCTTTGGGCATCCAGAAAGAGGACCAAGGACCCTCTGAGCCTCCACTCCAGGACACAGTCCATGGCTGGCATTGCCGCCTCTGGTCTTCATCATTCCAATGAAGACAAGGATGTGGTATGGAGGGCAAGAGGGCATGAGCAAGGCCACACTGGGCTGAGGCTGTGATCCAGCGTGAGGTCCTTTTGGTCCCTACCAGCCATAACTTACCCAGCTGCCTCTGGCAGTCACCTGAGGAGCTTCCAGGCTGACCATTCCTATGTCCCCCCACCCAAGGGAGCCAGATAAGGGCACAGGGAGCCCGGCAATCCTCACGGCAGGGCTCTAAGGCTGGGCAAGGGTCTGCACTCTCCTCGCTCGAGAAACATTGATGTTCAGTGCAAATGTCAAACACTCAAAGAAAAGATAAGCCGCAGGACATGCTGATGCAACCACTGTGCCCAAGGGGAATAACGCATGACACAAATAGAAGCAGGAAGACAGACAAGGAACGAGTGAAAGTATACCTGAACTTCCTAATTTTCTATGTGGAGAGTCAACAAGAATCTACAAAAAGGGAATTTAGCTCAGTGGCACCATTCCTGCCTTGCAAGCGCAAGGTCCTGAGTTTATTCCCTGGGGCCCCTGCCAAAGTGAGTGTATCTAGTTGGAGAGTTCACTAGTGAGTGTGCAGAAGCCAATTAAATCTGCAAAAGACAATTCTCATTGATAAATAGCAAGAAACAGTGGGAAAAAGATTCTACATACTGCTGACAGCAGCTGTGAAAGCAGGAAGTTTGCAGCAATACCGTCTGATGAAAGAAGTTAAGGCCTGGAAGGCCAGGAGAGAGTGAGCACACTCCTGACCTCACTTTTTTAATGGAGCCAGATCCCACCCAAGGACAACAGAATCCAAGCTGTTTGCTAAACAGAATTACAAGCAGATACTAAACTTCATATGGAAACGTAAAGGATCTAAAATAGCCTTTAAAAACAACAAAAAAACTGGTTCTGGCTCCTGATTCACAAGTGCAAGGGCCCGAGTTCTATCCCCGGTACCATTAAAAAAAACAAACAAACAAAAAAAAACCTGAAAAGAAGAAAGTCTTAAATTTGCAATCATCCTGCCTTAGTCTCCCAAGTGCAGGGATCACAGGTGTGCACCACACCTGAGTAGAAACTTTTTACACATATCTGGTAACGCAGAATATATCTTAGCCACTTTCCTCACTGCTGAGACACAACACCAAACCAAAGGAGAGGTTTATTTTGCTCATGTTTTTAGTCTATAGCTGGCATGCTCCAAGGCAAGAAGACATGGTGGAAGGACCTGTGCAAAAGAAAGCTCTTCAGGACTGGGGAGCAGGGAAGGGAGCTGCAACCGACCAGGCCCCGCCCCCAGGCACCAGGCCCCGCCTCCCACCAGCAAGCCAGCTGTAATTCTGCTGGAATTCAACCACCTTCCACAAGCCTTTCTATAATTGCATGAGGTATAAACCATAACATTCTGCCTCTGGTCCCCCAAAGACTCATGTGCGCCCCTTTATGTGAAATGCATATTTAGTCCACCTCGACAAGTTGCCAAAGTCCAAGATGGCTGAAAAGTCCAAAATCTGAGACCTCAGGCAAACTCTTAGCTGCCAGCCCTCATAAATATTAAACTCAGCCTCCCGAGTGCTGGGATTACAGACCCATGCCCAGGTACCTCCTGAGCCTGGTCTTTACTGGGTTTTGGAGTCTGGGTGAAAGAGTGCACAATGGCCGTCTGCAAGCTGGAGAGCTGGGGGCTGCAGTGGAGGGCCTGAGGGCTGACACTGCACAGATTAGTGAGTCTGTACCAGTCTGGGTCTGTGCTAGAAGCCTGAAGGAACTGCAGAAGACTCCAAAGGTGATGATGAAGCTGGAGTTCCTTCAAAGTAGCAAAGGGCAGACTTTCTTCTTCTCCTTTTTATTCCATTCAGCTGCAAACCTGTTGGGCCCACCCATGTCTCGGTGGGTGTTCCCTCCTTTGCAGCCCATGTGTCAATCATGCAGACACAGTCCACCATGTGTTCCTTCTTTCTTTCTTTTATTTTTTAGTTTTTTGGGACATGTCCCACTATGTAGTTGAGACTGACCTGGAACTCACTATGTAGCCCAGGCTGGTCTCAAACTCACAGTGATCCTCCTGCCTCAGCCTCCTGAGTGCTGGGATTACAGGCATGCGCCACCATGCCCGGCTCACCATGTGTTTCTTAATCCACTCACACTGACACCACAGAAGGGAAACCAACTCCTCCTCAGACTCAGTTTCTCCTACTGTACACTCATAATACAAGCCCTGCCCCCACACAACCAGCTGGGCCTCTGCCGAAAATCAGTTCTGACTCCATCTACATCCTGCGATCAGGGTGACCGTTCAGTCCACAGGAGGACCCCACCACAGGCACCAGCTGCAGCCCAGTGTGCAGCTTGTGATTCTCTTTTTCCTTGACACAGGGTCTCAAGCCGGGCTCACACTTGAGATCCACCAGGCAGCCTCCCAGAGAGCTGGGAGTACAGATGTGAGCTTCTCACCAATAGGCTGTGGGGCCAGAGATTTAGCTCACTGGTTCTACTATCTGCTTCCCAAGCGCAAGGTCCTGAGTTTAATCCCTGGTACAAAACAAACAAACAAAAAACAAAACCAATAGGCTGTGAGCTGCACCTGTCTCTGAGTTCAGTGAATTTGTGGAAGATCCCAGAACTCAGGGAAATATGTTTACCGGGTTATTACAACGGATCTTAGGGACAGAGAGTGCCATGTGCTCCACAGCATAGTATTCTCCAGGTATCTCCCTGCACATGGATGTCTGAACATGGTTTTTTTGGTGCAATGGACTAAAGGACAGTCATACAGAGCTGTTACTGGACCACAGCATGTGACAGAGCAAAACCCAGCACCGCCTGGCTGCCCAGTGGGGTCAATGCTGGCTTACAATCTAAGTGCTCTGATAATATTAAGTTGCAAAGACCATTTAATGATGAAGCAGTGAGCTAGTTCATAAAATAATCATACTGAATATTAAAATCAGCTGTAAAGTTCCAAATTATCTCCATAAGGTATTTTCTGACAACTGTTAAGTCAAAACTTGCATTTTATGCACTCTTTTGGCATGTTAACTTTCCCCCTTGGGGTGGTAGGGCTGCAGCAGGGGTCTCACGCACTGTTAACTATTTTAAAAGGACTCAAGTCCAACTAAGCACAAATTTCCTAGAGCAGAAACTTAATTGTACAAAAGATTCTGCATTATGAAGTTCTGCTAGGAAAAAGCTCTGGAGCGCAGTTAGGAAGCTTCATGAAGAACTCAGGCATGCAGGGTGCACTGATGCACAGCTGTAATCCCAGCTACGTGGGATCTGAGGCAGGAGGATTGCAAGTTTCAGGCCACCTTGGAGAATTTAGGGGGGCCCTGTCTTGAAATAAAAAAGTAAACAGACTGTGGATATAGCTCAGTGGTCCAGTGCCTCTGAATTCAGTCTTCAGTACTGGGAAAAAAGCAAAAAAGCAAAAAACAAAAAATTTGTACAAAGCAGTGATGAAAAATATGATGTTGATAAATAAATGGACAACAGACATGAACAAAAGTCAGACAGAGAAATATAAACACAATACACATGAGGTCCCATGCAGGCCGTAACAAATGTGTTTGAAAAGGAAAGTTTATTTAGCGACAGAATGAGGAAGTGACTGACCTCCTCAGTCTCCTGGACTGGAGCACACTGAATGTCTACTGAGTGCTCACCGCCCCTCTCCACCCAGTGGTCCAAGGGCACTCACATGACAGCATGGCAACACAGAGAGGCTTCTGGAACATTTTGTGCGGCCTGGCCAGTGGGACAGGGTCACTTCACTGCCCCACTGTGGCACGTGGCACCCTCATGCTGCCCACACCACCTTGACCATGGCAGGTTAGGTTCTCAAATATAAGCCACCAGCATGAATTACAGGCATGGGATCCCGGGTGACAAAGTGACACATAAAACAGGCATAAAAGGACAACGGTCTCCTTTCCTGCCACCCCCAGAACTCCAGGAGCTGGGCGCTGTGCAAAGAGTTCCTCTTCCTGTGGTGCCTCCAGGATGACAGGCCTATCACTACCACAGAGAACCACCGTTCCTTGCTTCCCACAGAAACCTAAACTCAAAACCCTATTCTGTGTCACCATCCACTGCATGCTTCTCTCTCCTGTCAGCTACCTCCACTCCACAGGAAGTGGTGCTGGGCTGGGGTG